AGTACTAATTTCAGGGTTTTAGGACTCATTCCTGCACCACTACACTATATGTGGAGTTTGACCAGTTTTACAGAAGAACAGTGAAGGATGACACCAGTACAACTTTCTCTACTTCCAAACTCAAAGTAAACTTGAGAAAAAGACCCTATATTTCAAATCACACGGTGTACTGACAGCCCAACGGGGATCATACTGGTTTCCAAAATGAAAGCCCAACAAGTTGGAATTCCACTGCATTGACACCGCCTTTCCCCTGCGATTCATATTTGGATCCTTAACAACATGCAAGGATAACATAAGCACATATCTGAAAGGACACGGTGTACTGAGAGGTGAATGTGTGCCTTATCTCTCGTTGAACTTGAGTCTGACTTTCTCTTGGACAGTGATGTTGCCTAACGGCTTCACTCAGAGCTAAAGCCATATTCTACCAGGTTACCAGTTGTGTCCGGTTACAGAAGTGGTGACTGACGTTAAGTCGGTCTGAGTCGAAGCCTCTGCGGGGATCCAGTCAATGATTAGCATGGAAATAGCTCCGAGGATCCACCTGCCCTCGGACTCTCTGAACGTCCAGACAGAGACTTTTGAACACTAAATATGAGCTGTTTCTCTCAGATCAGCTGACTGTGACTGGTTTGGACTCGACTGACTCAAATGATTGACAAACACTTGGTTTTTTCTGCTCTGCTGGACATGAAAAGAGATTGGATTCATTTCACCGATAAAGGATTAGATTTGCTATCTTTTATCCCAACGTAGCAGCATGGCATATAGGTGTTTCCTTTGTTTAAAAGTTGCACGAAAAGGGGACAGGAAGTGGTCCCGTGCTGACTCATTTCTGGGTTTAAGGACTCATTCCTGCACCTCTCTATTCGGCATATATGTTTTCACTTTGTTTAAAAGTTGCACAAACACGTTAATGATTCTTAACACAACAGGATTGTGTGCAATATGTGCAATATATATATATTTGTGTAAGCATGCTTCTTTGTTAATATGAAGCTGTTATGGGCTCTTTTCTTGCTGTAACAAATGCACATTTATTCTGATTCTGAGGAAACAGAAACCCATTGGTTAACAGACCAGGGGACAGGAACACGCTGACTCATCTCTGGCGTTTAAGGACTCATTCCTGCACCTCTCTATAAGGGCAGTGCACTGTATTTATATCAAAGAGTGAAGCATCGGCTCATTTCTGACGCCTCAACGAGCTGTGATTACGTTAGAAAACATCTGATCTGATCCTCATGAAGTGTCCTGGTTCTTATACTGACACAGGAGGGGATTTGATGTTCATGTTAACAGGACGAGGAATGGGTTAGCGAACAGATGCATCACACAGTCCTCTTGACCTTGTCAGAAACTGGGTCAAGGTGACCATTATATTTACTGGTTAGCAGGAACGTCACAACAAATCACACGGAGAGACAGACAGGGATCATCCTGGTTTCCAAAATGAAGGCATTGGAATTTCACTGCATTGACACTGACTTTCCCCCGTCCTGTGATTCATATTTGGATCCTTGAAAAATGTGCAAGGGCTGCAGAAATAATCAGAATTCAGTTCAAATATGAATGTGGAATATTCGACTAAAGGTAAAATATTCTGGAATAGATATTGTGGTGTTTTTCCGAGACGTCCCCCCGTCTACAAACGATATTTTAACAGACTTTTACAAATAAAAACATTTCAATATATTCTTTAATAAAAAATGATCCTTCCCTCTGCAGTATCAGTCAAAAGAACACTGTCATCGATATAGGGCTGAATGACACATAGGTTGAATAGATATTTTACTATAAACTATACTTTTGAAGGCCACATCAAATGTTATGTAATGTGCATTTTCATGAATAATGTTGGCTACAGTTTATCAGTCAAAAGAATCCTACTTTAAATGTAATGCAGAAAGAGGCTGCATGTAAACACATTGTTTGTATTACGTATTAAACAACAATCACAACGTTACATAAGAGCCTCTGACATGCAGAAAGCACAGATTAATAATGTGTGAACGGGACGTTACTGTATGTGTGTGTAGGAATCACACACACAGAGGAGGAAGCGGTCACATGGTAAGAGGGGGGGGGTGGGTAGAGGAGGGAGGGGCTGTACGTCACTATCAACGTCACTGTAACGCCTCCTTTCCTCCTCTCCTCTCCTCTCCCCTCCCTCCCTTCACTACGACTCACATGACTGCAGCAGCTCTGTTCTGTAACTCCAGTCACGAGGATGGAGTAATATTACAATAACCAGCCAGCAGGGGCACACACACACACACACACACACACACACACACACACACACACACACACACACAGTGGAGTAAAAGGCAGAGTGTAGCACTAATAACCCTGAGTAAATATTAACTTATTAACATGTCGTAGGGTAGATAAGCTTATCGGACTGAAGAAAGAATTCAAGCTGAGATTCTGAGAGAGATTTCTTCCTGTGTTTCTGCCTCAGGGACTTTGCAGCAATCCAGCTTCATATTATATATAGAATATATATATAAAGAGCATGCATGCTATATGGGATGCAATGCTCCTTGTATTGTATGTATCTCTAGTTGCACTACTTTAATGTGTGTCCAATTGCCAAAGCAGTGCATACAATGGAACAACTCTACATGTTTGGCTGCATTTGTTCACAAAAATAACCTGTTCTAGACTCCCAAGTTCAAGTTCATCTTAATGACATGTCGTATTTTTAAGTGTTGATCAAATTGCTGCACAGCCACAATAAGAATGACTCAAATATGAAGATTATTCTGCTTTTTCTCAAATTGTTATCGTAACAAATGTAAAGAATAATGTGTTTAAGGCTTAAAAAGCATTTCAAATGACACACACTTGGAGTATGAGGAGCTGGGATGGAAATGTTCTGCTTTATTCTGACATTTTATAACCTAAACAACTCATTGATAACAATTTGTATAAATATATATGTGGTAGATTTTGATGCATTTCCTCTCCTGCAGTTCCCTCTAACATGACATACACTTGGATTATGAGGAGCTTGGATGGCATTTTTTCACTATATTCTGACATTTAATATTAATTTGTTATGTCACTATGTAGTATATTATATTGCATGATACTACAATATGCATATTTATTGTTCGATCCTTTATTTTTTGCAGATTTTTTATCTCCCCATACATTCCCTCTCCGTCAGTGCATCTGTATGAGGAGGCTGCAGGTTATAAATAGCTCACGTCTCTCTGGATCCTCCACACAGTGAATTAACTGCTGAAACTGCCAATCAGCTGTGACAGACCCCCCCACACACACACACTCATACAGTAACCCCCCCACTCTATAACACCGTCAGATGACCGTGCAATCACAGCAATAACAATCATCACGACGCAATGTGACGTCACTGTGTGATGCAGTAACACTAGGGAGGGGGGGTTCGTGTTTTACGTCATTGTAAAATGTATTGATGCACGGTAACTCTGCAAAGGGGGGGGGGGCGGGTGGTGGAGATTAAATCTGACAGGTTCCCATCTATCGGGTGGGAATTTGCGTTTTTGCGCAAAAGCCCCTGTAGAAATCCTCTAATTTAACGTTTCCTTCCAAATACGATGCAAAATACATCATGGTGAACAGCAAACTGGTTCTAGGTATTAAATATGTTCCCATGAACCATTCGGCTCACACTTCAGGTGCAGGGAAACACATAATTGAGATGTAATGGCCACTTCTATAAATGGTAAAGCACCTCCTCCCTGTGCTCTTGAGCAGCAGCTTATTCTGGGATTAACAGCAGAGCCAGGTTTAAAAGTTCACATATTGCTTTAATTAAGTCCTGCTTGGGGTACTGATAGTATCCCGAATTAAAGTGAACATCCCATTCATTCATTTAGAAAATAAAATGCATGCTTAATGTGGTAAATACATAGTAATAGAGAAGGAATCCTAAAAATGCATGGATTGGGTACGCAGTTTGGCGTATGCACGGAAATCGGTGTAAAATCACCTTCAAAGCACCTAGCGTGGGTTTATTATAGACAGTATGTCGTCACCATTCCCCCTTCACACACACACACACATCCACACATCCCAAGAATCAGTGTCTTTACAGCAAGTTCCACATCCACACGTTTTGTAACCGTTGTCTAACGATTACGCAAACGGTTATGAAAGCGTAAAACTGCGCCAACTTTTTCAGCTGACCCCTTAAAATCCACTGTCTCTTTTTCCATCCCATTGCATTGCAGAACATGATGTGATAAATGGACAATTTGTGAGGAAATGACAGGAATAATAATAATAATAATAGGTGTTCCAAGTTAAAAAGCGCAGCAGATCTCCAGCACTGAGGCTCAGGGTTAAGCTCTCACTGCAGCTTACATACCGGAGTGGATACATAACATGACACCGGTGTATCCAACTCGAATACACACTTTTATTAACACACCAGCATCGATCCATTCAAAACACAATATCCCCTGAATCAAGCATGCCCTACATGTGTTTTCTCTGCCGGGTTTCAGTGCCCAGAGCCCGCCTTTAAACCCTGGAAAGGCACAATAATGAGATCAAATCATAATAATGCTTTAAGGCTAAATCCATGCGTTCAGACGCGCACCACGTGGCCATGTCACTGAAATGAAAACTTCCCTGAAGAATGCGTCAAAAGTTTCCAAAGCGCCCTCTGCATACCAAGTAATGTGTGTGTGCGCTGCGAAACACACACTACACCACACACACACATACAAAACACGTAAAAAATCCGGCAAAAAAATCCTCTCACTGAATATTTCCCGAGGACATTTCCTTCCAGAAAACACGTGAAAGCCAAACGTCAAGATACAGTACACACAGACACACGCACGCACAGGGACGCACACACCGGGGTGATGCTGCCTGACAAGCCGGGGAAAGGCACCCATCTGCCGGGTAAATCTTGCGCCATAGTCGGCGACACGTAAAACTGGAACCCCGGGTGCAAAGCCCCGGTTCTGGTGTTTCCAGAGAGTCCCGGGTCTTACCTGGCTGCCGGAGGTTTCTGTCAGGTAACTGAAGACAAAGGACGAGAGTTCCTCATCTAATAGTGGAGCGCAGTCCGCCATCTTCTAGTGAATGAAGAGCGGAGGAGCCAGAGAGCCGGGTATAGAGAGGAGGAGGAGCGGCAGGGAGGAAGGTGGCCGGCAGGGGGCGCGTCTGTTTACAAACCTGGAGACATGCGGCTCCTCAAAGGGGGTTCCGGGGGGTCCGCGGACCTCCAGGGGTCAGAGGCCCCGGGGGGTCCCAGAGCAAAGTGAGGAGGCATTGAAGTTAATGGGGATGGAGTAAAGTGTGGTGAAAACATGCCGACAGATTCAAGATGTTTGTATAGTCAGATGCTCAGCAGCTACAGAGGAGAAATGGCAATGACATTCTTCTGACCTGAGCTCCTCCTACAATGAAACATGTATAATAAAATACAAAAAACTAAATTAAAATAGTGCAAGAAGTCTACATGTAAATAGAATATGGGATATGTACAAGAAAATAATAAGAAATTAAATAATGTAAATTAAGACACAATTAAATATGGTTTATTAGGTGATTACAGACAATTAAAAAAAATAAGTATATAAAAAATATAATTAATAAATATTCAATGATACATATATCTAAGTCATTTAAACAATTTAAACAAAATATGAAAGATGAATTTGAACGATAATAAATAATTAAAAAAGAAAGTTTAAATAATATATCAAATATAAATAAAGTACTATTTATTAATAAACATTTTCCCCCAAAACTCTGCGGTTCACAAAAAAGATTAATCATAATAATTAATTTAATATACATTTTCAAAAATGTATGATCGTAATCAGGTTTACATATTTGATATTGTGTACATCAGTTCACATTTTCTTTACAGTAGTTGTTATAGATTTTTGAAGTAACTTTCCCAACCCAGATGATATCTCAATCTGACTTCTTAGTGCTCTCATCTATTCTCACAATATCATTAGCATCAAATCACATCATGCACCAACATTATTTCATGATGCAATCTAAACCTTTATTGTAGGATTTTATGAGATTATTTTCTGGTATCGCATTACAAGGTTCAACAATTGCGGCGACACCGAGAAAATCAAGCATTATAACACACACACACACACACACACACACGCACACACACACACACACACACACACACACACACACACACACGCACACACACACACACAGAGAACACACACACTGACAGGCTGATTGCATTGTTATCACTGCATTGCAGCACAGTGTGTCTGTAAGTAATGGTCTTAACTGCGTGTGTGTGTGTGTGTGTGTGTGTGTGTGTGTGTGTGTGTGTGTGTGTGTGTGTGTGTGTGCGTGTGCATGTGTGTGTTTGATGCTGCCTTCAGGTGCTGTAAATGTGAGTGGTCAGGTGCACATGAGCCGCCCTGCAGAGAAATGTGAGTGAAACATGGTAATAGAATGATGATGAGGTGATGAAGATGATAACACGCTCTGTTAAAGATGGCCTCCATGCAGAGAGACCAGGGGTGTTTCTCAATGTCGAGGAAGGATGCTCCAGAGCCACTATTTCAAGGATGCTACGTCATCGAGTCCCGCCGAAGGACTGTTCCAATGTCCAGGCTCCTTGGAATTCTACCGAGGCCGGCGTCCTTTGTTGCGGGACATTTCGAGGCTGCACATGTGTATCCTCCGCGGTCTTAAAATCCCCACAATGCTTTGCGCACGGACCAATTTCCAAAATCTTTGGCGAAAATTGCGCTCCATTTAAGGCGGGGCCTCTCATATGACGCACACCTGCACACCTGTTAGCCTGTTCCACCAATCTTCGTTTTCCGAGGCTTGCCTCCCTTCTGAAGGACCTGACTCGGAAGACATGTCCTACCAAAGAAGCGTCCTCGACATTGAGAAACACCCCAGTAAAGCTAATGGTTATTTCCCAGAGTTCATAGCAGCATTAACTGGGAGGGTTAAAGCTGCAGACGCTGCAAAGGATAGACGTTCAATCAGGGCCGCCGCTTGCGAACAGGCAAGGCAGGCAACTGCTTGGGGCCCCGGACCAGAAGGGGCCCCCAAAGAAGGTAGATTAAGAAGGTCCACAGCAACGACAACATGACACACCCTTTAATTTACTGCAACGACATGTCGGGAAACCCCCTCAAGGCGGCCTCATGCATAGCGCGCCATTATCTTAAGTGTCTTTGCCTTGCTCCGCTCGGGGGGGGGGGGGGCGGTGTCGGCTGTGCGTGGTGATGAAAAGCTGGTTCGAGGGGCCCCCAGTGAATGTTTGCCTAGGGCCCCCACAGACTCGGCACTGCGTTCAATTTATTTAATGAACGTTTGGATGTCTCTAAATACATGAGTCTGCATTGTTATTGTTTCATCTATTGTTGTTCAGATTAGTTTTTATTGTACATTAGCTCTGATGCATTTTAATTTAAATTACAGTCGTTTTGTGTGTGTCATTATTATACTACAACAAAAGTGCAATATAAATATATACAAATACTACTTTAAATGTAAGAAATATGTATAAGGTTACTGCAATTAAAAAGAAATCTTCACCATGTGTGTCAATATTTTCTATTCTTTGAGATCAACATGACAGCGGATCAAACCCCTTTCAGACGATGATAGAGAGCGAATAAGGAATACAAATAATGTGCAAAATCAGTTATATTTTTTTACGACAGAAGCCATAAATACCAGCTTTCTGCAGCACATGAAGGCAGCATTAACCTGTGTTTACATACCTGCAGCTCATACCTGTCTCTCACGTGTTTAAAACCCTCCTCTCAGCTCCATGTGTCGTCATTAAGGTAAAAAAAAGATAAAGAAACCTGAAGCAGCTGTTCTCTCCTCTGATTGGTCGATACGAGGTGAAGTCCCGGCCAAGGATGAGTTCACTTTGCCTGGGGCGTCACACACTCATACATGCAGATTATTACACTGTGTATGGGGAATAAACACACACACACACACATACACACACACACACACACACACACACACACACACACACACACACACACACACACACACACACACACTCAAACCAGAGGTATTAATGCATGCTTTTATTACCTGTATTTCATTCTTATTTTTATCCCTATTTTATTTATTTATTTTATTCTTGTTTCACTCAGTCCAGTGTTTTTACTCCTTGGATAACCTGTGAGGAAACGTAGCGTTAGTTAGTATCTGTTTCTGGTTCATAAAGCACCTGTTCCAAACCTTTGTGCTTGAAACAGGTGTATGAATAAAGTTTGATTGTCCCCTCAGTAAAACGTTGACCTCAGACTGTTTGAGTGTCTGCAGCCTGAGGACGGGACATTATTGAAATGTCACTGAGAGTGCGTGGAAGCTGCTGAAACACACACATCTTCTCCACTTACAGTTAATAATGGTATGGGGCTGATGGTATCAGCCCCAGGGTCCTGAGGACCTGTGCACGCCAGCTGGCTCCTGTTCTCCAGTATCTATTCAACCTGAGCCTGCACTTGGAGACCATCCCGGTGCTGTGGAAGACATCATGCGTTGTTCCGGTCCCTAAAAAGACAACTCCTTCTGGGCTCAATGACTATCGCCCTGTAGCACTCACATCTCATGTGATGAAGGTGCTTGAGAGACTGGTCTTGGCCCATCTCAGACCGCAGGTGAGATCATTCCTTGACCCTCTGCAATTTGCCTACCAGCCTCACCTGGGGGTGGACGATGCCATTATTTACCTGCTGCAGCGTGCTCACTCATACCTGAATGGATCGGGTTGCACTGTGAGAATCACCTTTTTTGATTTCTCCAGTGCATTCAACACGATCCAGCCTCGGCTACTGAGTGACAAGCTGCAGGCTATGAGGGTAAACTCGTCCACCATCTCCTGGATTACCAACTACCTCACGGACAGACCACAGTACGTCCGGCTGGGCAGTGTGCTGTCTGATGTGGTGGTTGGTAGTATTGGAGCCCCACAGGGGACTGTGCTGTCTCCTTTCCTGTTCACCTTATACACCTCTGACTTTCTATACAACTCAGAGTCATGCCACCTGCAGAAGTTTTCGGATGACTCTGCAGTGGTAGGGTGTATAAGGGATGGACGGGAGGAGGAGTACAGAGCGCTGGTGGGTGATTTTGTTGAGTGGACTGGAAGAAATCATCTGCTTTTGAATGTGGCCAAGACCAGAGAGATGGTCATTGATTTCAGGAGGAAGAGGACATCTCCTCCTCTGCCCCTGTGCATTCTGGGAGAGGATGTGGCAGTTGTGGAGGTCTACAAGTACCTGGGAGTGCACTTAGACAATGGGCTGAACTGGAGGATCAACACTGACGCTGTGTACAAGAAGGGGATGAGCAGACTCTATTTTCTGAGGAAGCTGAGATCCTTCAACGTATGCAGTAAGATGCTGGAGATCTTCTATCAGTCTGTTGTGGCTAGTGCACTCTTCTTTGCTGCGGTCTGCTGGGGGGGCAGCATCAGAGCCGGTGACACCAGCAGGATCAATAAACTGATCAGGAAAGCTGGGTCAGTCATCGGCATCAAGCTGGAACCCTTTGAAGCTGTGGTGGAGAGGAGGACACTGAACAGGCTGTTGTCCATCATGGATAACCCCACCCATCCTCTCCACCTGCAGCTGGACAGTCAACGGAGCTCCTTCTCCTACAGACTGCTGCAGCTCCCCTGTCTCAAGGACAGATACTGGAAAACATTCCTGCCCACTGCAATAACTCTGTACAACAAATCACCTCTGGCTGGAAGAGAACTCTCTGCTCCATAGTTTCTCTAGAAATAAAACCACCTTGTACATTTTACTCACACATAATCTGTTTCATATTTAATACTCCATAATTCCATATATTTTGAATATATATATATTTGTATATTTGTATATATATATATATATATATATATATATAATATCTGTATGTATATTTTGTATTTTGACATGTATATTTTATATTTTATTTTATATTTTATTTTATTTTATTTCTATTCTTGTATATTTTGTTTTATTGTAAAATGCCTTTTATGCTGCTGTAACAAAAACAATTTCCCAATTTGGGATCAATAAAGTACGATCTATCTATCTATCTATCT